TATATATATATATATATATATATATATATATATTTACTTTTTTTTTATTAATAACTTAAGTGTATATTTGGGGATTCATTAGTTACACTTTAGCATATTATTCAAAGACAATATAGGGAATACATTTTTACCTGTTTTTGAAAGTATTTAATAAATATAACTATGCTCAGAAATATTTTCTATGATAAAATGTTTATGTCTTTCTTTTCCTGAAAGCTTAAAGAGGGATTTATAATTATTCATAATCTCACCCTCCTCCAAAAGACATATAACAGCTTGTTTTTTTTATTAAATAAGTCAAACTGTGTTTCTGGAGGAAAAGCTTTTATCTCAAAATCTGTCATTTTTCATAAAGTATTGAATAGTTTTTGTTTAACGTACAGTACATTTCAGAATTATTTCTCAATAATAAACCATGAAGACCTCTTAAATTATCAGAGACTTTATTTCTCAGTCTTCCAGGGCCAGGACCAAATAAGGGAGCGCAGCATTCAGAATTTATACGCATCAGTTCTGGAACAACCTCCCTGAAAAACCTGAGCAATGACAAAACTTTGGCTCCCTCAATTTTGGACCGTAAACATATTATTTTCCACAGCATTGATAAGTGCAGCACTAATAAGATTTTAAGATTAGAGATATAACCTGCATTTTGACATCTTAGATTTTCTTATTTAGTTTTTTTTATTTAAAGTGTGTCAGATTTATTTGTGTGTGAATGGTGCTATGTCAATAGATGTACCTTTTCTCGCTGAAGGGTCCTGCAGGTTTTGTATCTGTAGTCAATTTTTACCTAGCAGGTCCAAGAGTAGAGGCACATAAATCGTGTTGTCTTTTCCTCACTCCCACTTAAGACTTGGATGATAATTAAGAAACCATCGGCCAAACATCCTCCATTTTGCTGCTTTTAACAAGTTAAATTTTAACTTCATGCATACCTGCAGTCGACCTTCTGCTCCAAAATACTTACTTATTAGTTGAAACCAGCTCTGTTGCCATGGAGGCTGCTGTTGTTTGATGGCTCCCTCTAATCATTTAGTAATTAAAGATTTATGGCGGCAGCTTATTGCCAAAAGGAGAATTTGAGCTTGCAGTTATTTTTTTTAGGAAACATCTGGGCATAAAAAGAGAACATTTTAACAGTTTAACCGCAGTCATTTGCTTGGACTTTCTTACTCCTTATAAGACTCATTTTCTTAATTAAAGTTTGATTTAGTAACCTTTAAGTTGAAATTATGCATAAAAAACAAATCATTTAATAAGTTTAAATACATAAAAAAAATTACATATATTTTTTTTTTCAGAAAATGACTGAGAGATACACAGAGTGTATAATATCAGAGGCTCACTTTGCTAACAACACATAGAACAGCTCTTGTTACACTTTGCACACACAAGGCAGGTTCAGACTTGCACCAGTTATCCCACAATTAGGTGAACAATTATTAAACAGTTTCTTTCAAAAATACAACCTGCCTGTCAGTTTCAGGGTCCCAGTGATTGTATCCTTAAGGGCTTTACAAGCATATTCTATCCAAAGACTTTAAAGATCATTTGAAAGTGAAATGGGAGTTTTCTGACTTTATTCAAATAGAAGTTCATTATTTGATGTTTGTATTGACTGCTTGTCAAATTCTCATTTCAATTATAGTATATTTTACCTTTTTTTCCTTTTCAGGGTAGAGC